TTTTTCTTCACAAAAAGAGTACATACTTTTAGGGCATAGTATAAGTAGGCGAATTGGGACGCAGCAATGCACTCAACTGTCGCAGCTTTAATTACGTACCGAAGGGTGAGGGGCTATCAGACTCCGATTATGAATGACAAAATAACCTTATAATTCATACTCTACATGGTTGAGTATAGTGCATAAGTACATAGTGTATAAGTGCATAGTGCGTTATTTGGGACGCAGCTAAAGTCTGGCATATTGAGCATTCTGATTTAAACGCCTCTGATTGGCCATCGCATTAATGCGCTCAACAAACGCGCTGTGATTGGCTACGGTGCTCAATGGAGCAAAACACGCTGTGAATAGAAACAGTTGCACGCACAAACACGGGAACATTTGAAAGCAGCTGCTGATCAGCGGGTTCCGGATCGAGGATACCAGCCTTTCGCTCCAACAGAAAGGCTGGTATCCTCATGTTTTTAAAATATAATTATCGACTTGAAAAATGAAACTCTTATTATGAATGGGTTATAAACAGAAAGCGAGCATAATCAATGAAGCTGATATCACTTCAGTTCACCTGTTATAATCAAAAATCTGTCTATACTGCACAATGAATCTCTTAATTACTTTTATTTGTCTTATTTTTTGTACTTCCTTATTTATAACAGAGTCGTTTTCAACAGCTCTTATTTATGACGAAACTGTTTGTGAGCACGCAGAGCTCACATGCCTCTGATTGGACGTCGCTTTCACGCGCTCAACAAACACCTCTGTGATTGGCTACAATGCTCAATGTGGCAAAACCATAGACTGTATAAAAACATGGACGTAGTGTCCCACGCCCTTAATTATGCAGAACGTTAAGGCTTAATATAATTTAAGCGGATGAGTTATAAAAAAATTCACCCACCTCACAGTTGTCACGAAGGGCAAAATTAGCTATATAGACCAAAATAATTTTTTGAACCAGGCTGTAAACATGTTTTTTCTGATGTAAAGTTGGGCATTTTAACATGGGGAGTCTATGGGATTGACTCCCTTTTGCAGCCAGCCTCTAGCGGCCAGTTGATGAATTACAGTTTAAGTCACTTCCGTGTTGGCTTCACGAGAGAGAGCGGGAGGTTGCTGCTTGAGCAAAACACGTTGTAAAATTAAAACAGTTGACACACTTCACAGAACGCGAGCACAAACACGGGAGCAGAACACAAATCAGCGGCTACCGGAACGAACCGGGAAGGCTGGTGTCATTAGTATTAGGGGTGTAACGGTTCAGATTGCTCACGGTTCGGTTCGGTTCACGAGGGCGGTACGTACCAAGAGTACAGATAGTTTGTGTGTGTTTGTTCTCTCGCAGTTCGGCTGCAGCTCCAGGCCACGGCTGTCGGTGAGGTGGTGATCAAAGGAATCTGCGCAAACCGTTACCTCGCCATGAACTCGGACGGACGACTGATCGGAACGGTAAGACGCTCTCTTGATCTTACAGCTCTTGGTCTTTACTTTATAATTTTTACCTGTATGCACATTTGGGTGCTGACGTAAAATCAAGTCAAGTATAGCGCTTTTCACAAATACACATCGCTTCAAAGCAGCTTTACAGAAAATCAGTATCTTAAAGGGATAGTTCACCCAAAAATAAAAATTACCCCATGATTTACTCACCCTCAAGCCATCCTAGTTGTATATGACTTTCTTCTTTAAGTCGAATCCAATCGGAGTTATATTAAAAAATGTCTTGGCCTTTCCAAGCTTTATAATGGCAGTGAATGGGTGTTTTTTTTTTCAGTAGTCCAAAAGAAGTCCAATAAAGCGCAAAACAAAACACTGGTCACGAATTAGAAGTACAAAACGATGATTTGTAAAGAAAAATGTGGGAGGATTTCGATATTGGTCACTAATTAGAAGTACAAAACGAGGATTTGTAAAGAAGAATGTCGGAGGATTTCAATATAAGCCAAGAGGTTTTCCTTTGCTAAAGTAAGGAAACTTTGCTTCCTTTGCTCCTGTAAACAAACATCAGTTCTCGCGAGACTAGCATATTCTCATTGGATCTTACGCTACGCCTATCCGCCGGAATGAATGTGCATACGACAGTTAGCGGAAGCTAGAGATTACGGTTTATAACATTTTAAATATGGATATTTTTCTTACACAAACTTATCGATTTGCTTCAGAAGGCCTTTAT